TAGCACCAAAATCAAATCTCAGATGTTAATGAACCCCAAACTATAGAAGCTGAAAAGAAATATTAAAAATGGCCAGGAGGAAAAGATACCAGAATATGTGAAGCACTTGAACCAGAGTTCAAACCAACATCGTATGATGAAAAATGAGCCCATTCACTCAGTTTAAACATCCACCTGTAAAATATAAATTTAATTGGCTATCTCAACCGTGATGTAAAGCAATATAACCATCAAAATAGGAGAGGGCCATATAATGAGGGAGAATTCCTAAAGTTGTCATTAAGAAAGTTCATACCCATAAGAAGCCTGTTTATCAGTAAGAAATCCACCTGTCATAACCTGATTTCCTGTTCCCTCATCAAAACAAAGACTCAAATGGACCAGGGTATTTAGCTTATCAGAAACTTCAAGAATCTCACCACAAACAGGGCAGCAATTTAAAAGAGGTTCACTGCAATACAGGAAATGCATAGAGATTAAAAAACGTGCCAGGAAAGTAACTTAAGTACTACTTGAAAGGTCAGGATCAAGAAAACTGCATATTCTAGCATTCTCCACATATAGTATTGGGGAGTAAACATTGGGGATCGTGAGAAGAGTTGTGACTACAGTTGCAAGATATTCACAAGCAAGCTGCAAAGCATACAGCGAAAAACTCAATTCTTCATTTGTTTGTTTCTTTTTCTTGTTCTTTTATTGTTTTTGGGTGTTGGGGGGGTTTGGGGTTGGCAGGATTAGTTGAGAAACAGGCATAATAGATTCACAGAAGATGTTCCAAAAAAACAGAGAGGGGGGTTGGGTTTGGATGATCTAATAAGCTATACTGGAAACATTGTTTATGCAAATTGGTAGCAGAATATAAGAATATAATACATTCATAATTCAAGCTTACTGCCATTAAAATAGAGGATTGTTACTTTTCTTGTTGAATGGTGAGAAGTTCAGCCAACTCATCCAAGCTTACAACACCATCCCCATTCTTGTCAGCAGCTTTAAAAAGCTCCTCTTTCTAGTGAACAGGTAAACATCATTTTAAGACAAAAGAATAATACAAAGCCATGTTCAAAGTTACACATATAGTGTAAGCACTAAATGATTAGGATAGTTTTCTGAATTAAATCCTAAAACCTAATCCCAAAAGACACTTTAAAAACAGCAATGGAAATAGAAAACGTAAATTGGTGAGTTTTAGAATCCCAAACTTCAAATAAAAAGGTCAAGGTGTCATCTAATAATACCCATACCATTTAAATTTCTGAAATTCACATCCCAAACCCAAATACAGGTCTCCAAACTATATCATATGTTTAGCAAGTTCATAAATTAGGATAAAAAAAAATATGAAATGCAAGCAAAGAACTAAAAACCAACATAAATGCTTATGGTCAAACCTTGTTATCTGCCACTTGATTGCCAAAAGCCTTAATCAAGTCAGAGAACTCAGAGAAAGAAAGCTGTCCATCTTCATTGTAATCCTGTGTACAGCACAAAAAAACTCAAGACTACAGTGTTGTAAAATTAGTGTAATGCTGATGAATATGATTTATTCCCATCGATTGTACATGAGACATTGGTATAGACTGATAGTCTTACAAGTGACATAACTTTTGGAACATGAAGCATAACGCATTTGACACATTAAAATATGAGTTGCCTCATTCCATGGCTAAATGCCTGGTTCTATGAAAAACATAAGTACAAGTAAATCACAAACCAACTCAGGAAAGCCAAGTGTATTTACATACTACCCACAGAAAGAGGAAAAAAAGAAGCTAAACAGGAGCATGGTAATAGGCCCTATTGCCTGCCTTTCCTCCCTCTCCTCCCAATTTTTTTACCTCCTGTTAAAAGATTATTTTCACCCATTGGAAAGTATAAATCTCTCCATTAAGTCTTAACACTAGTTCACTGCACAGCTAGACCGACCACCACACTGATAACTGATTGAATGTCCAGCATTATGGAAAGAGAATGAAGTACTATGCAAACATACCACAATTGCTAATATACGTCTTGCAAAATTTTTCTCTGTTTCAATTGGATCCTGTCAATAATTTCAGGTAATGTTAAAGATTATCAACATATCCTCAAGTCTTAACTACTCAATGGAAGTACAAGTTGCATACTGCACACCTCAACAGAACACGACAGAGAAATTCTTCCGACAACTTTACCAGCTGATGCAGGGTCCAAAAGTTCAAATACTTCAAACTCAGAATCTGAATCCTGCAACAAAATAGTATTCATGTCAAGGGAAGAAAACTAAAAGTAAAAAAGAGCAAAGAAAGATATAAAAATTTTGCTAACAGCAACTCATAAGTTAACCTAGATTTGCTAAATCCTCCAGATACAATGATATGGTACAAATTTTCAAGGACCCAAAAAGGTGATAGAAGATCAGTACCACGATGCCTCGGAATCTTAGAGGAAAATTATACCAAGTACAACCATTTACACACCACAGTAATGACTTCTAATAAACATGTGTAAGAACTGGGACCCTTAGAGATTTAGGTCACCAACAAAACTCCAAACTAACATAATGATCTGTTCTCTCCTCTTCCCTGACCACAAAAATCTTCTATGAACTTGAGTTCCAGCCCTAAAACTAATAGAAGAAGCTTCCCCTGTTACTTGGCTATATAAAAGTATTTTAAGTTGGTGATCTAGTGAAGGTCTTTGAATGTCATATCAAGCAAATGAAATGTGCTTTTTCTTTCATTTGTATGATATATTTTGTTTCATTTAGTAACGTCATGCAATCATTGGTTTTTAAATTCTTTGTCGCAGTGATAGAGAAGCACCATGAAGGCAGAATGAAAGTTGCCAGATCGTTCTAATTGTAGTTGTCCTCTCAATATCTTTTCATTTTGGAAAATACCCAACAACACGTACCAAAATGTATTGTAACTAGCAGGGTGCCAGTGAACATTTTAGTCAGTAAAAGGACTTATCAGTGCTTATTTCTTAGGATGATGAGAATCTTAAATACATTCTAAGACAAATTGAAGGAACCCTTCCATGAAAGTTACATTGCAACCAAGCAATCTAACCTCCAAAAAATTAGCAATCAATGTAAATCATCTAAAGTTTCAAATATTTTAACCACCAATTGCATATAGAATTTTTCCATACAACTCCCAAATTTTCCCCTTTGTTCATCAGTTACAACTACTGAATTTCCTACTGCAATGCTATCAACTAGTAACTTCATTTAACTTAGAACTCTCTCCAACATAAATCAACATTGGACTTCTTTGTCTAGCACTTGGCAGGATAAGAAAAGAGATACTTTTAGCATATATTTTAATGGTTTTATTATCCATGCAATACGTGTAAAACTCAACAACATCACTCCTCCAGAAATTACACATATTTGTAGTAGCAGTCATTCAATGCTCTTGTTTACCTGTGTGAGAAATTCAAGTAGATCAATCTCACAATATCCAACAAGTGTGTTCTTCGAAATTCTATTGGTCTGCATCATTATACAAGAAATTACATGATGATCATAATAACATAGCAAAACAACTAAATAAATGAAAAATAACGCTTTGAAATAAGAGAATAATCGGAAAAAGCAACTCACATCTCTATATGAAGTAAGGTTTTAGAAACATAAAATCATAGCTGAAGCCAAAATGTGTTCAAAATTGACCACAGACAACCATATCACGATACATTTAAGTCATCTAATGTGTTGCGGGTAGTCCAATACACGATTTCTGCTAAAAGAATAGGGAATGAGCTTTCACAACTTGCTATTAAATAGACAGCAAGTCAGGCTAGAGTCTTCACAGGTGAGATTGGATTGTGCCCAAAATTGACAAGTGGCAAATATTTTGCAGTACGCATTACACTCTTATCATATAGTACCCTGTGGTTGTCCATCAAACCCTATTCATTGACATGTATATAAATTTTGTCACAAAAGAGAAATGGAATAATCACACTGAAAATGATCCGGTGCCTGGATTTCTTGATTGATCATTGGAACATTAAACGAGTAAAAAAATAGGTTGCAATGAAGCCTGTTTTCTTTGTCATGATTTGTGACTTTCAACTAGGTCCTAAGAAATGAAAAAAAAAAAAAAAAAAAAAAGCTTTTAATCCAAGCAAGCAAGGGCTTAGTAATGGAAAAAAAATAATGGCATGCAATAGATTCATCAAAAGTAAGCTGATTGCTGACCTCAAAAACAGAAATTCTGGCAAGATGAGACCCATTTTTCTCCAACAGAAGCTTCTTTTCCTGCATGAGAAAATTTCAAGTGAATGTTCATAGATGCTGCAATAACTAATATAGTGGATTCTCAATTGTAGAGAAAGAAAGAAATATTGTGAGTAATCACCGAGTTCCAAACAGGTTTCTCAGTCCTGCACCACAAACAAAACAAGAATTAATTAAAGCAACAAGCAACAAGAAGGAGAGAGACAGAGAGAGAGAGAAGCGGTTGAGTTAACTGAGCAGAAATATGAGTTCGGAAAGTCTGCTCTCCAAGAGAAACACAGGCGAGCCACTTGTCTTTGAATTGCATATCGGCGCTAATTATAGTGAGAAGAGCAATTCCAGCAAAATCCTCAGCAGAGACAAGTTTGACATTGGAAGTGGAGGAGCTTCCATTTCCTCGCGAAACTGAAAGGCGATGGAGCATTCGACGGAGACGAGGATGATCCTTACTGTGGAAGTGAAGCTTCTGTTTCATTCGAGAGTAGCGAGTACCACCGTCGCTATTAGTTTCAGGCAATTCTTTAGAGCTTCCGTGGCCCATTGTTCCCTCGTTCCTTCTTTCCTTCCTTATTTCCTTCCTTCTTTTTCAGTTTCTCTGGTCTCAGGGTATCGGTTTTTCTGACCGTGGAAGGTAATAGCAATAAATATTAATAAATGGGAGTGGTTAGACTTTGAAAGAGAGAGAGAGAGAGAGACTAGAGGGGGAGGAGAATCAAAGGGGATATCTTCGTAGGTTCAGGACATGTGGTGGATTTAACTATATATTTTTTTAATGGAACTGAATGGAATGATTCGTCCGTTGAACAATATACGACCCAGCATCTCTGCCCCACGCTCCACCTGCAGTCCTTAAATCATTTTGACTTCCACAAACATGTAATCATTCCCCTTTTGTGTTTGCTTTTTACATCCCTTGTTTTTTGTCATACCTTTTTACTCTTTTTTTAAAAAAAAAAAATTTCTAAACCTAAGGATTTTGGCTCGCTCAATAAAATTTAAATGTTATGTTAAATTATGAAAATTTAGAGAATTTGCTCAATTTGTCTTTATTTTTTAGGCTAAGTCTTCCATCTATTTTTTTAATTCTAATTATTTTTAGTCTATCATTATATTTTAGGTTGTTATTTAATTTATTTTTGTAATAAATAATTTCATACAAATATAAAGTCATACGGGCATTTAAAAAATTCAAATTCTGCCTAATTTATTAAAAACAATAATTTTATAAAACAATGAATTGTCATATTGAACCGAAATTCTTGTTTTTTTTCATGATTCTTTTTTAAAAATAAATTAGTTTATGTTTGAATTTCTAGTGCGATAATATTTTCACTAGTTTAAATAGAAATTGAATAATGATTAAATGTTATAGATGAATTAAAAGCAATTAGATTTATAGAGAACTATTGAAAACAAGTTAAGGTAATTTTCCTAAAAATTCTCTTAAAATTTTTAATTTTGGTATGAATGACTTATTTTTAATTAAAAAAAAAGTAGTTTTAAGATCCAATGAAGGGCAATTGGTAATATATTAAAATATTTTATAATTCAAAACACCGAATACTATTAAAAACAGTGGTGGAAGATGGAAATTTGTGTGTATTGCTTGACTTGTAATAGTCACTTTCAATTCTATAGTGGATGTCTTTTTCTCGATTGCGATTGAAAAACGAGTTATGGAATCAGACTTCAAGTCGATCAATTAGCCTAAGATAAGAACGAAGCTAATTTACCAAAATCTAGATGAAGAATCAATTTCCCTAAATATTTGCAGCTTTCAAGGGACCGCTATTTCAAGACACTGACTCGTTGGTGAAATTGTTGTTACTTTATCAAACGTATTTAATTTTAAAATTTACTACAATGTGATATGGACTGAAGTAGAAGGGAGAAGAAGAAGACAGAAGAGAGGAAGGAGGCAGGAAGAAGGGGGAGAGAGAAGATAAGTTCTGTTAAATTTTTGTGTATCTCATTATGTGTTTTTGCTTTTCCTCTTATAATAGTCATTCTTACGTGACAAAAGAGCGGGTCAAGGGATCGGATTGAGATAAAATGATAGTAGATTCAGATCCAATTTACTTGATAAAATGGATTGGATCAAGTCTCCGATTTAAAAAATGTAAATTTGCATGAATTCGAAGCTCTATTGAATTTAACACTTATTTTTATAAAAAAAAAATATACTTACTCTATTTATAAAAAATTTAACACTTAAATTTGCATGATTGGATCCATATATTCTTACGTTGTATTATTTACCTCTATCGTCTCAATTGATCTTAGCTACACTTTTATGTCTAATACTAAAATACTAAAATGGGCTCCAATTTATAAAAAAAATTGGTTTTGCATGTTATGATTCTTACCATTAAATTCGAAACAAATGGAACAATCATTTTTTAATATATTCATTGCTTAACTCCATAACAACTCCCATCATAGAAAAAAATAAGCATATTAAAAAAAAATAGTAATTTTAATAATTGGTTAATGCACAAGTAAATGAATCACCATGGGTTTTTATGAAGTTGAAATTAAAAAAAAAAATGACAAAAAACTTATATGCAATTTTTTAAAAATACAGTTCACCTTAAAAGAATATACATCATTTGAATATTACATAAATAAACTCTCAATTTCAACTAATCTAATATTTATATAGTTTTTCATATTTATTTTTAAAATATTATATTTATTAAAAACCTGTTCTTTTTAATTTTGAACCGAATTATTATCAATTAGATGAAAATAGATTCGAATTTAATCCATTTAATAAACGGATTAACGAATTTAAATCATAATCAGATTTGAATAAAAAAATATTATTTATCAAATCTATTTAATTATACCGAATTCAAATCAAGATTTGATATATTTATAATCGTACCTGACAGTATCAGATAACTCTAACATGCCTATACTAACATTAATGCCAAGCTCGATGACAATAAACTCAAATCCGACCCAAACATTAATGGCTCATTTTTATATATAATTGGTAAATCCATAATTCCCAAATCAATTAAGTTTTCACCTCAACTCCATTTCCATTTCTTCTGCACGTATCACAATGCCTCACATAAGAATTACATCGTTAAATCTTGGTACTTATTTCCCACGCTGTGGTTTGAAGACGTGTTCAATCCAAATTCAAATATTTCCAAGTCGATTGGCAGCAGGCTTATGCGTGTTTCTTGATAGATTGAGATTTTGCAATAAAACCCAACTTTATTAGAGAACCGCAATTCTGTTAAACTGTAGTGCTTTGACCGTTAATAGTCAGGAGGAGCTCCCATCCCAAATAGGGCAATAATATCAACTTCACCTGTGGTGAAGACATTCCGTACCGAATCAAATGTTGATCCTTCTACCTGTATCCTGAGATTATTCAACTCCTATAACTTCTAGCCATTTTGTTGCCCTTCTAGAACTTGGACCAGTAGCTCTAGTTTTCTTGAGCTTCACAATCTTCTTGTCTTGCTTTCATAAGTTTCCATTATTCCATAGCTTCAAACCCACCATTTATTTTCTGAGGAATTATTGAGTATATCAAGTATTGTATTCCATCCTCTCACAAAAACATGAGATACATTAATTATTTTCATGGTATGGGTGTTATGCTTTTATGAAAGAGTTATGATATACATTACTAACAATTTTCAAACCATTGCTTTTTTTTTTTCATTCCCTTCAAGCCGTTGTATTTGCTGTCTCTTGGCTTTGGCAACTCCCCTCGTCATTTCATCTCTGAACCCGTGTAATGATTCTAACGCGTTTCTCAATTTGTTGAATTTTCTTTTAGTTTACAGAGGCGAGTTGCTCGCCCAATAATGCAATCCAGACATCGAGACACGGTCTGGTTTGCCGAGACTGAGACTGATCGTACACTACCCATGTTTGTGAGAAAACGAAAACAAAGGAAAATGATTGGAAGAGTTTGATCAAGTTTTGAGCTAACGCCATAATTTCTCTTGTAAGTTGTAAACGCGTGCATGTGTGTTTCTTAGCTATTTCAATCCACATAATTGTCAGCGAAACTAAAGCAGAAACAACTTTGATAATATGTCCACGTCCAACCACTGATACAAGAGTTTGATTGGCCTAGCAACTCAACCCCAACAATCTTAGATATATTTTTTCTTTTTGGCACTGAGTGAAAAAGTGATACTATAGATAATAAATAGTTAAAAAATAATCTCATCAACGGAATTATGTAAAGCAGTACTGCTATATTCAAGGCTAAGTAGCAGTGGACAAAGCAAATACCGAGAGGAAAAGGAGCAGTAGCTTTAAGGGGACAAGATGAACAAGCATTCCAAGAAGTTCAGATCAATCGTATGACATATAAATGGATAAGAAATTCACAAACAGTTCAATTCTCCATTTCCTGCAGATACCCTGAGGCTGTAGAAGTCTCTAGCTTGAGACCCTTGACAGCTCAAATTGAAAGCTAGATCGCTTGACTTGCTTTCTCAACTTTATAGAAGAGAAGATTTATTTATTGTGATAAGCAAATTGGTTTCTCCTCAAATCGATATACATACATGATAGTATAAAAATGAACATACTTGGAATTCAAAATATCATATTGACTCCTCAAATGAGAGGTTTTTACATCTGAAACCAGGATGACTAAGAATCAGGGAGAAGCCAATCAAGAGCCTTGAACAACTACAACAGAGAAAACAAGATAGGAAAACGGAGTTAAATCCAACAACCTTTTTTGTTTATCTATTTTGAGTGTTCGAGTTAATTTTCAGTTCTCTAATTCGTTCAATGAGCTATGCAGAAGGCGCATATCTTCTATCCAGTCAGCATATATACCTCTTACTTTCTTGAGTGCTTTCCACTTGAACATGCAATGCATTGCCTGCGCTTCATGCTTGTGATTAGTACCAATGCCATCCTTGCCCATAAGAAGAGATTTTAAAGCTTTGGTTGGAACAATCCCAGATGCCAATGCAGTGTGGCCTTCAGATTTCTCTAATTCTATGAAAGGAAATAACAACAAACATCACTCAACCAGAAATGTTATCTTTCAGAGCGTTTTCTTTTCCAGGTTACAAGCAAACAAAGAAAACTTGAATCAAGGTTTCGGCAATCAATGAACTGGGAGTCATAAATCTGAACTAAAGGAATTAATTATAATCTAATATCTCAAATATATGGAACAATTCAACGTTTGGTTACATAATCCCGCTGTTTGAGATGATAGAATGGTTTGCCATGCTAGGGGTGCTGGAGCCATTCAAATTCCTTTGAGCACAAGAACACTTTGAAACGTCAAGTGATAAGCCAATACTGCATCATTTTAAGCTTCATCATTTAATTTCTCATTAGTTTCATCTTGAGACCAGAAACAGCTCACTTCATATTGAACAACTCCTACTAACTCATTGCACCATGAATAGAATTAACTTAGGCAGACAATTAGCGACATCTCTGACAAATTATTTAATAGATGATCTCAAATATCTAAAACTGTGAAAAGCATAGAAGGTTTCTTTTTCTTGCCACACAAAGCTTCATCATACAGAGCCAATCGTCCTTGCCTGAAAAATGTCATGGCTCAATTATAATCGTGCCATGATTAACTCGTCTCTATCCAATAATTGGAGACCTAATTTTAACTTCTTGATTTTTAAGAGGCTGAAAGTTTAAACATAGCAATTCAAGAAAAGAACATTGAATTCTATAACCACCAATAACAAAATTACCAAAAGTGGTGAGAGAAGTATTGGAACAAATGCCAACAATGCAAAGCTGTTTCATACTCCATTAGTTTATGTTGTAAGCAGGAAAGATCATGAAACAGACTACTTTCCAGCTCTCAGCAGTCAAAAAGATACCAATATGGGCCTATTTACGGATTAAAATTTAATTAGCAATCAACAATAATAGCACATAGATATAACAATTGTGGCCATGGACCAAAAACACCCTCATATTTTATGAATTCCTTAAATATCTTCTCACTGACCATTATATTATTTCTTAAAAACTTCTTTAATTGCTAAGGTCCTAATCCCATTGATAATGTGTTTAAATGTTAATTCGAATCTATATAATAAAAAATAAAAACCACGAAGAGAGTGTACAGTATAATTCAAATATGACATGAATTAAGCAATACCCATAACTAAAAATGCCTTAAGAAATAGCTAAGTACTTGTAGAATACCTTCTTGTCCATGAGCGAAGTGACACACCTTGCCATATGGGCAGCCTCCGGTCATCTCCCAATTGTTACAAAGCCTTCTTTTCCTAAACCCTCCAATGCTTATAGCTGAACTCTCCCTATACTGGTCCAAATGTTTCTTAAAATTCTCAGGACTCGCATGAATGAAACGACAGTTATTCCCATATGTGCATTCTTTCCCAGAGTAGAACATCCAACATAGATGCTCATTGACTGCAACCTTTTGCAAGTTAGGCAGGGCCTTTCTCAAGTCACGAACACCATGGGCAAAAAGACATTTGCTTCCATGAGTGCAACCCCCCTTTCTGAATTTCATGCATAGTTGGGTCTTGAAGCTACCACCACCCGTCATCATGGCATTGTTTGTTCCCACAGGGATTTGAGGACTTGGACCAGCGTTATTTTCATAGATTCGCGCTTTCTTGCTTAATGGGTCTCCAATATTAGAGACAGTACTATCAAACTCTTTGCTCTGAGTGGAGCTTCGAGAGCCGAACTGAATCATCTGTCCACTAAAAGCAAAGTATTTGCAAGCAGGAGCATGATCACTCATCTTGGATGCTTTTCAGGTATCCAAACAACTAATCTTTCAGTTTTCTCGAGTAACTGGATGAGGGTCTTATGCAGAAAAAGATTTCAGCCCAAAATCAAGAAAAACCAGATGGGCTAATTTGAGAAGAAAGTAGTCCCAAATATCAATCAGTAGTTGAACAAATATTTCTTTTGCATTCCACATTCTGGGAGGAAATATTGGATGACCCAGATGGAAAATGTTGAATGGGAAACAATTTCAGGTAGAAATTTAAAAACCCTGCTCGTGCTAGCTGGACCAAAAGTCCTCAACTAGGCAGGCCCGTGACACCCCCCAACTGCAACTTTTCATTGGATTTACCCAATTACGAAAATAGCCTCTTCAAAGGAGCTTCTTTTTACCATGTTCTAACTCGAGCCAGCGGTGTGGAAAACCAAGGAGAGAAATTGAAACTACAATGAAAATAAGGGAGTTAGATTAACAAAAACCAAACAGTCGGGATGAAATTGCAATATGAATATTAAGGGAAATTAAAATTAGGCTAAATTGTAAAAAAAAAAATCAACGCAAAAAACATCTTTCCTTTTAAACAAAATAATAATTGATTTTTCACTCTAAATAATATGTTTTTTTTAATGTACCTCGTTTATTAGGATTTGTTGAGAAATTGATAGAAAAATTCATAAAAATTCTTTCTTTTTCTCTATTAATAAACATGATTTTCTAAGTTATGTTTATTTCTGTTTTTTTTTTCAAAAAAAAAAAAAATTAAACTTGGTGAAGTTTGGAAGAAGAACCAGCTTGGACCAACCTACAAAGAAACGCCCAAGGAAGCCCACTTGTGTAGGCTTCTCTAAATCCAAACATAAACCCCAAACAAGAAAACGAAAATCTGCAGGGTTTTGGCACCAAGAGACGAGCTTTTGGGGATTTTCTTTTCTGCCTGGGAATGGGAGGTCTAGCTAGCAGCAGCAACAGTGAAGAGGAAGATGCAAACTGGAAAGCAGCCATCGAATCAATAGCTGCAACTACCACTTTTGCTATCAAATTTTTTAGCAGTAATTCTAATGACTCAACGTCTCGTTCAGCACCCAGTACAGAAGATTATGCAGAGAACACCCAGAATTCTCGAAAGCCCAAGCACTACCAAATTAAGGTAACGCTTTCGGGATTTTTTTTTTTTTTTTTTATGGTTTATTTGTTTTTTTATCCTTTATAAAATAGGAGAAAGAGAATTATTTAGAGGTGAATCATGGGATTTAAAATGCTACTCTATAAAACTATAGGGACAATTTAGAATTTTTAATAATGACCCAAGAGCCTTTGTGCCTTGTTTTGTGCAAATACAGCTTCTTAATCTCAAAGGATTTGGTTTTTTAATGTGTAGCATGAAAGAAAATTTGTGTAGAGAAGTTTGTGATACATGCAGAGAACTGCTTGTCTTTACTTATGACACTGATAAAGATTATGTTTAGATAGCTAACTGGTCAGTTTGGCTCACTTAGCTACTGCATTTTTTTATTATATTATTATTATGATTGTAGGGAATTCAGTTTCAGACCTTGATATAATGCTGCGATTTGCTTGAATTGGTTGTCTGTAATTTATTCATATTTTTATGAGCTGAGGATGCTCTGGACTTGCTTGCGGTGTCACATCTAGAAGTACTTGTATCCTTTTCCAGCATACTTATGCGCCTCTTTGCCCCCATCTTTTGCAGTTGTAAAAATAAAACCATTTCCATCTAGATTTCTTTGCTTTTTTTTTTTTTTTTCCTTTCTTTCTTTAAGTAGCAATGTAACTTAATGGCAGGCGCAAAAGCTTTTGGATAACATCTTGGAAACGACTCTAGAGATGGTTAGAGATCCCATTCCTGCTTCAGATAATGATCCAGATGCAAACGACATTGGAGTAAGGCTATTTAAACATTCTCCTGCTGGAATAGTATTTGACCATCTAGGTGAGTTCTTCTCTTCATATGTTGTGACCTTTTTCTTCCTTTTAAATTAGAAATCAGGTGCTTGTTTGATGGAGACAATTGATGATTGGTCCCTTGATGTATAATTATGTGTTATTCAACCTATAGCTTTGGTGATGCCAGACAGATAGGTAAGTGATTGTTTCCTGATTTCTAGAGGCATTTTATGCTGAAAATAGATGGTGGCTATGTTGAATAAACACTGGTTCTTAGTAGTCAAAGTTTGGTTTAGATAATTAGCAAAATAGCATCATAGTTGTGGCACACAACTGGTGCAAATTTACATTGACTTATGGAGGCAATACCTTCTTTATGGAAGTGAATTTAAATTTGGGGCAGCCATCATAATTAAATGTTTTTGCCAAGAGCTGCTAAACTAGTAGGATTTTAGCTTGCCATTATTGAATTTTTTGAGATAGGAGAGTTACCATTCTCCATCAGTTCACTTTGTTATGCATTCCGTATGCACTCTTCCTGCATTGTGCATAAGGACTGAAGGCTGTGTGAATGTCCCCAGATGAAATTCAAGGCCCCAGAAAAAGACCACGAATCCTACCGGGACAAGATATTGATGAAAAATCAAAGAAGGTTTGGTTCTTTCATAATATGCTCTTCCATCTTTACTGATGATTTTTTGATGTACTCAATTTAATAATTCTCACCTATGCTAGGATATTCAAATTGTTCTTACAAAATTATAGCATCCTACAGTTTAGGCATCAAATCCGATCCGTTGCTGTTGATGGGGCAGGCATAATTTCTGCAGCAAGGGATGCAGAGCAAAAATCATTAGCTAGATTAGAAGCTAAGGAAGCAGCAGCAAAAGCAAAAGCCAAAAAGGAGGAAGAAAGAGTTGCAGAATTGAAACGGATCAGGGGGAGAGATGGCTACCTTCTATTGCCCGGGAGATGAAGGTAATGTTTCAAAGGTTAAAACCCTCAGTTGCTCAATACTTATTTGTGTTCTTGCATGGTTTAGCTTCTTCATTTTCTTTTTCCCATTAAACATTCTTTTCCCATCAATTGATTTCATGTTTCCTAGTATTTCTTTCCACATGACAGAAATAATTCATAATCTTCTTGATAGTTATTGATGAAGTTAACCAATCTGCTGCCTGTGACGCTTTTTGCAGTTAAATAAAACTTCTGGACAACAAGTCTAGACAAATACTCAAATGACACTTGATGTGCTGCGCTCTGCCTTGTTGCTTGAACATTGCCAAAGGAGTATTTGTGGCAATTTATACCTAGCAGCCTGCAGCCTCTTCTATGGACTCTGTGATTCCATCCCAAATGGGCAACTGTGGAGTATCAAACTTTATGGTGACTATTTATCCATCGGCATGCGTTATGATGTTTGTTCGATCCGTTTCTGTGTGTTAGGATTGCAATGTATTGCCTGCTTGTGATTAGTGCCAATGCCATCCTTGCCCATTGGAAGAGATTTTGAAGCTTTAGTTGGCCCAATCCCGGATGCCAATGCAATGTGGCCATCGGACTTCTCTAATTCTGTGAAAGGAAATAACAACAAACGTCACTCCACCAAAAATGTTATCTTTTGGAGTGTTTTCTTCTCCAGGGTCCACGCAAACAGAAGAAATCCATAATCAAGTTTTGGGCAATCAGTGAACTGATAGTCATCAACATGAACTAATGGAAATAATTATAATTTAATATCTCAAATAAATGGAACCATTCGACTTTTGGTTATAAAAAAGCCTTCTGTTTGATATGATAGAATGGCTTGCCATGCCAGGGGTGCTGTAGCCGTTCGGTTTCCTTTGAGCACAAAACACTTTGAAATGTCATTTGTTTACAAAAAAATAAGATAATCTTTATTCAAATGGCTTAATTTTCCAAGTCTAAAGACATAAAACTCACATTTAAAAAGAAGCATACTTACAAGTCAAATCTAAAAAGATCAAGTCAGATTGTAGAAAATAAACAAAAGGATGGGAAAAATCCAAACCATGTGAAAGAGAACAAGAAAAAATTAAATAAAAAAAAGAGTTGTCATCGGTTAAAATTAGCTGCCGGCAGCCCAAACTAGGGTTTATATGGAGGCGTTTTGTTAAAGAAAGAGATAGGAGCCACGAGAAAGTGTAATTAATTGTGTCTTGCTCTTTAATTGATAGCAAAGATTGGTTAGTCTAGCTTAATGAGGAGTTTTATGCAATGTATTATTTCACTAGGGTGTATTTGGTACGAGACAAATGGAATTGAAGTGCATTAGATTAAACAGGATTAGATTGAATTAGACAAGTTCATATTCTTGTCTTGTGTTTCGTACAGGACAAAAAAATAAAAAAAAGTTTTGCAAAAGTTTATTTTAATCTCTGGAAATTTTTCAAAAATTTATTTTAGCCCCTAGTTTTTATTTCCATGACATTTTAGTTCTTAATGAAAATGTTTTATCCTCTAATTGTTCAGTAAATGCAATTTGGTCCTTAAATTATTATTTTTGTAATTAAGCCCTATATGTAGTAATTCATCTTAATAAAATTTAGTTAAACTTCTACAAAATTTAGTCAACTAGATAAAAATAAGTGATAAATAGATAATATAAAAAATAAAAATATCAATTTTGTCTATAGTATTGGACAAACTTGTTTCACTTTTTTTGTTTTTTTTACACAACTTTAAACAACACAAAAATTAATTATTTTTCGATCTAAAGTGTGTATCAAACACAATACAGTTTGTTATGTCATGTTTAATGTATACACCAAACATTGAATAATTTTTTTGTCGTGTCCAATCCAAATTCATCCAGTGTACTAAATACATAGTTAAAGTTGAGTAACGGGACAAAGTTAAGTTTAGAATCAATTTAAAATTTAAAATTTTCTTAATTGGTTTCTGTTTTCCTCTTGCTCTTAATTTTTTTGGCTATAAAATGTACTCTTATGTTTGCGAGAGTTGAATTTGGTACTTGCTTGAAGCAGGAAGTCAGAAGTTACTACAATCACTTTTCGGTGTTTCTAGAAAACCTAAGTCATCGAGATTTCCTCTTTCGGTGGCTAGCAGTTCGATCAAACTTTCACTGGTTGCCATTTTGGTTTAAGATTCAAGGACCCAAAAAGTATTTGAAAGATTATTTTCTCTGGTCCAAATTTGTAGGAAAATTAGGAACTTAAATTTTGAATTGAATACAGAAATGACTAAAGCCGGTCACTTTAAGACTCAATCCGTTACAGTGGAATTTGATTTCGTTGCTCTCTAATCTAGGAATTAAGCCTCATATCATTCAAATTATTGCCACACCAAGTCATACATTATCACTTTAGATTTTGGTCCATGTCGTTTTGGTCATTCATAAATTCATGCTAGATTTAGCCAAACCATCTCAAACAAACAAACTCAACTTAATCTGTATATATGATTCACCTTCACCTTCTAATGGCTTTACATGCTCACTTGTGCTTCTATGGGAAATTTCTAAAGTAAACATTAATAAGCAATCATCGTTCAGAGAAATATTTTGAAAAAAAAAATGTTGTTCCAATGTTTAAATTTATCTGGGTTCTGGCAAAACAAAAAGTTCTGATAAAGAACAGATTCTAAAGGAGGATCAGGAAGATCAACAATGTTGATGGGAATGACAAAGTTATAACACTGGCAATGCTGATGTGGAATGATGAATCAAGTGCAAGACGAGAAGATGGAATTGCTGGAAGCTATTGTAAAATTAGCTAGAGAAGCTGTTAGGAGAGGATTGTGCAGACAGTGATTCTTGTCTTTGGACCATTCTTGTAAACTTTTCTCTGATTTCTTCTTCGTTTTTCTCTTCGAATTCAATAATTCTTTGCAACTATTTTTACAACTTTCATTGTATTGAAATTGTTTCATTGCATTGATTTCATTGACTAATATAGATCCATTAACTCAACCTTAAGTTCTTTAATCCTGGAATTGTAAGATGTAGTAGTTTATAGGCCAAAAAATACCAAATGTTCGCACAATTTACTCCACAGGAAAAGTTTAGAGATGGGACAAACTTCGAATCTATGCTGTGCTTGCACAAGGATTTTTATATACCTTCTAGAGCATTGCTCTCTGTACTTTTCTGTTTCCTAAACAAAAAGGAGAGGACAAGCTTTAGTATGAAAAATACTTGGGCTGGCAATGATACTAAATCTAAGCCTAGGTTATAGTAAACAACTACGAAGAGGACTCTGCAATACTATTCATCCAGTCAAGACCTGAAAGATGAGAATGCGAACCTGCCGAGAAGCAATACAAAATCCATTTTTTTTGAAAATAAGACCATGGAGCCAACAAAGTTTGGTCATCAAGTAACAAATGAGGCCAAAATTTCAGAGCTATCCATAAACCCCGGGTTGTTGTAAAGGGCATTTTGACATCAAAGGAAAAACTTAGACTACCTTAGTCCAAGAGAAAACGCCACTTTTTTATAAAACCACGAGGCTGACTTTTTGTCATTAGTTCCACATAGTCCTGTGTTCAATTTCTTCTCTTGAGCAGTGTCAAAATTTCAATAATGTGTATTCAAACACTAACCTAAGTTTGAATGCACATATCTACCACTGAGGATGATTTAGCACAAAATTTATTGTTTACAAGCCATTACCACCCAAATAATGTAAGGAAGGCAGCAAAGAAAGAAGAACCAACTCATCTACTGAAGCTTCTTTATCCCAGGAAATGATGGGAGAATTGCAATCAATGCATCACCATATCCAACAGGTTCTGTCAAGTTAAACAGACTGAATGAGTACAACCTTTTTATTTTATTTTATTTTTCCTGTTTATAAGTGAGTATGAAATACAAATGACAAAAAAAGATAAAAAAAAAATTCAAGCCTTGAAAAACACTTATAGAAAGGAGAACCTACCACCATCCTCTCGCAGTATTTTGATGACTTCCCCTGATATGTCAGACTGGAAAAGAAAATAAGAGAACACAATAAAGGACTTGCATTGTCTATTTTGGCCAATGTTAAAAAGGGGGGGGGGGGGGAAAAACAGCTTTGCTGGGGGAACAGGTTCGGAAACAGTCAAGGCTAAAGTTCCCTACAGAACTCGCCAGAGGTCAAAAGTCACTTGAATTGTAGTTCGACCTCAAACCAAGTGACCTGGTCACAGTTCACAAGAACTGGCCAGGTTTTTTTGTGAACTTGCTGCCATCACTCAAAAAATAATATATAGTATACACTCTTGAAGCACCAAACTGAGTTTAGAAGTTTGGAAGGTGAGCAAACTACCATCATGTCACTCTGACTTTTATTGATATACTGTCAACATTGCATTATATAACAACTCTGTGGCACTTGAGATAAATTTAGTACGTTCTATTTGAAAAATATTTAAATTTAGTTATATGCTTGATTATATTTTCATACCACAAAAGGAACCCGTGTATTCAAGATTATAACAATTTTTTACATAAATAAAAAGATGGCCTTCTACAGTGTGAAAGCCTCATGAAACTTAGACATTATAATTTAGAATACAGTGTTTGTTCAAAATTAAAATATTAAAATAACTTTCATATTTTGTTCTTGTTTTCAACCATATAATTTAGGATTTCCAAATTAAAATTGATAAGAAAAAATTGATACTGATGCAAGTAATATAAAAAATAACATGGCGAGGAAAAAAAAGCATTGGTACATGGGGAATGCAACCTTTGCCTATCACATTCAACTTGCATTAGCAAACGAAACAATCAAATCCATTCAAGAAACAAACCTCAATTGGGAGTTCACCACCAAGCTGTTCAATGTAGCACAGCACTTGACCCTCCTTTACTATTTGCTTCTGTTTCAGCAGAGGAAAGTTATTAGCATTCAATGACACAGTGCATGGCAGAAATGTTATGTCAAAAGAAAGGTTGGTGTATTTGATTTTGAAAGCATGCCAACAGAAAGATACTGGCCAATAACCAAGGCAACAGATTTTAAACACTAAAACACCATGCCCAACGAATCTAACAACAAATTGTCCCACTAATACGTTCCTTGTGTTTTATGTTTTCCCGAGAGTTGCTGTTGCATGTAGTTAAACTCTTACTATGAAAAAAACAGAGAACTTCTATCTCTCTAATATTCAGTTGCCAACTGGGAAATTACAACACGAGAAGAAAAAAGGGACAAAATTGATATTCAGAATTAAAACAAAGGGTAGTGTAGGAACTTCGAACACCACGTTCAAACAGAAGAAAAGAAAAAAAGGAATGATCTCTATAATTCCAAATCAACCATGTTCACAGATATAAATGCAGTCAGCCATATGACTGTTCTCTATCCTAAATTGTACGTAATACGATATTTACAACAAAACCCCATGAACTTGTACCTCTTTACATGATGGGGGTGCACGCTTTCCCTTTATAGTTCGAGATCTCCGGAAAAAACCCACCTGCATCATTTATGACTTAAGTACCTCTGCTTAAAGAAAGTTTTGCAGCATTTCAATTTAGGTTCTCACCCTTGGAGACTGCAGTATAGTTAAACCTTCATCAGCAGCTCCATCAAGAAATGATGCAATCCCCCTGAAGAAGGCTCTTGTTTGGAGATAGCTAAAGATGTAGAAGCTGACCCGTTGAGATCAGATGCATCAGTAGTTGTTTTCAGGGTGACAGCAAGAGAAGCAGGAGGAGGAGAAGCAGGCAGGAGTTGAGGTGTGGGTTTATTTTTTTCAGTTAAATCCCTCCTCACATATAGCCGAAACCCACCGAGCTAACAATCAGTGGGGAAAGAGGAAAGAGGGGTAGAAGGAAACACCATCAGATTTTAAAATAGTTATGAAGTTTTTATCCTCTTTAGCTAGAGAATAAGGCAAAAGAAATCCAAATTACTTTGAAGTGGTGAAAAATGGATATAGGACGGTTCATAATTTGCTTACTTTCAATTCACACTCTGCTATTGAAGTTGTATTGCATATTTCAGTGACCAAAGATTCAATCTGCATAAGACATTTAACAGATATGTGTTTCAATCGAAAAAGAAACTTCCAAACATGGAGGCAAAAGAAAAGAAATGATTCAACATCTTCTCAAACAAGCAAATGTCAAACAATTAATCTCTAAGTCATATTGACCATCATCTCAGACACCTCAAACACTCTAAGCAAATAAAACGCATTGTCCAAAATCCAGTCTATCGTCAGACAGAAAATAGGAAGTGCCATCTGCAAATTGCAGGTTCGACACCAAAATACCCTCCAAAGCACTATAAAACCTTTAACCAAACCTCTCTCCACCCCTCTATAGATTATCCTACTTAGAAAATTTACCAAGTCAATAAAAAAGAGGACAAAGAATCATCCTGAAAGACAACTTCAGAACCAAAAAATCAAGTAACCTTCTTTCAAACAGAAGGTTAAGTCCAATTGCGATATGCGCATTTAAAATTCAAACAGTCATGAAGAAAGCTGACAAGAAGTTAATGCCTTAACATATAGCTGACAAAACCAATAAAATTAAACCAGTAAGAAAAGGTCATTAATCCTGACAAAGCAATGTCTTCACCACTCAAATTGGATTTGAAGAGACCAGCTTGCTCTTAAATTCGACTTGTTTAACAATTAACAAGTTAAAACACAGATAAACAGCATCTAAGTGGCTTGCTTTCCTTATCTGCAGCCTAGGTAGTAAACCATTAAGAATGGGGAAAAGAGTACAGAAGAATTGTTTGATTGCATAACAATAATCCACAATGCCTGAATTCCAACTCGAGGGCATTAACCAACATGAATTTTTTTCTTCCATTCTTTCTATGAATAAACAAAAGTAAGGTTGCAAATTGCAGAAATTATCTGGCATGCAGTTGATTATACAAATCTCTTAGCAAAAGTTAAAATAATAATGAACCATCTCCCTGGTGCATCCATGTGTACTGCTTATAAGTATTTGATAGAAAAGAGAAGAAAAAAAATTTCTTCTTTCCTTTGGATATATATATATATCATCTTATGAACTGACAAGGCAAGTGATGTGTGATGCTATCACTTGCCATACAATGTGATATGACATCATTACATTAAATGATATTTCTATCTATAAGATTTTACTGTACGTTCCCCCCACCCCGGGGTCTGTGTTTTTTTGTCATGCCATTTGAAGCACAAAATTGATTTACCACATCCAGTTCAAAAAGAAAAGAAATGATTAACCACGAAAGCTAAGCTCAGAACAAACACATTAAAAGAAATACAAACAACCAATTGTAGCCGAGGATGACCTACAAACTTATGAATATCTATTAGAAGCAATAACTATGAAACTTAACAGCAGAAAAAGATACAGTAGCTAGATTTCATGCAACACCAAGATGAGTTGCTCACCTCAGATGAATTTGGAATATGTTTGCTTGTCAAACCCAATGATTTGGTCTCTTTAGTAGTCACTACAAAAAGAATAGGAATATGATGAATGGCTAAAAAATATAACATTTTCAATCCATCATCAAATGAATAAAATAGATCACTAACTACTCTCAATTGTTATGCTTTTAATTGCTCAAGAAATCAAGATTTCTATGGATTGGAAAGAGAACCTTAATGATACTAAAATAACAGGCTCAAGAAGATGTATCAGGGCATTCCAAATTTGATTAAACTTACTCTAAGATATGAAGGCAAGTTATATCATTTATGAAGAATAAGATACATGATCCTATGCTCTCAGTCAAAAGGTCCCTTTAGCTTGAAACTTTTTATGGAAGACATTTCACAAACCACTATATAAATGTGTACAGGCATGCTTGAGTGGATTTTGGCAAAGAAAACGGTTTTCTAAGAGATTGAACAAACTCTGCACAAATAATGTGGAAATGAATGACATGACAAAAATTGCTCTTGCATGTTCTTTCTCCAATAATTTTTTTTTTTCTGATCTCAAAAAAAAAAAAAAAAAAAAAAAAAAAAAAGAGCATTTCAGGCCATTATGTCCATTGTTGTTTGTAACTAAAGCTGCATGATAATGGTATAGGAAAAGGAGGTCCTGTCAGACAGTATTCCACAAGCCATCCACCTACCTGTCAGTGAATTTCTTTCGGTAACAAGAGGTTTGAATTCAAAAAGGAGAAGAACTAGAAATCAACCAATTTTTAGATATAATTTGAAGTTTAAAATGAAAAAACAGAGGGATTTTCAACAGAACTTTTATCCACTAAAACTTGGGAATCTATTAGCCTAAATAACAGTGTATTATTGACAGATATAGTGACAAAAACCACTCACACTCGCTTTCTGAAGCCAAACCACGACACCTGAGTGATTTTCTTGATTTATGTGATACAGCCACACCAGCATGTTGCAGTCGTCCCCTACCCATCCATACTCTTACACCACTTCGTTGCTGTAGATTACCAATTGATGCTCTACCAAAATCCAACTTTGGGAGCTTCGTGTTTGAAGCTCCTAAGCTACCTGTAAGAACCAAAGCACAAAGTGACAAAAGCAGGTCAAAATATTTTTCCAGCACCCTTCAGAATCACATCAAAAGAACAAAGACATGCACCATCTCAAATATGATTACTATTCTAGACCCGCCATCATTTAATTCTTACCCATCCTTTAATTATGCAACAAATTAACTCAAAAATCACTTTCATTGTTATTTGACAAGATGGTGTTTCCACGGCAATGGCCACAAACATATATGATCCATTATAGAGTCACTACGGAAGAACATATCAATAGAATCAAAGACAACGCATTTTCTATGTTATTTATCCTTCGCTTGGGATACCAAGCCTGAAGCTTTAAAGATGTTCAACTATGTGTTTCACCTATTTGGAGCATGCTTGAAATTTGGCACTAGAAATAGCGGAAGTGCTTTTAAATCAATGCCAATTAGGTGATAAAGGAAATAATAACTCTTATCTGCAAGTAAATCACCGTCTGCAATATGAAGTATTCAAAATAAAATTTAAATATACCAATACTTGTTAAAATGAAATTAATATTTCGAGTTGAATTCCTAGACAAGAAAGATTCACACAAATCATCCAGCTTTTTCAGGTTTCGTTGTGATTTTGTCATGAAAGAACTTGAAAAGAAGAAAAAAGGGCAAACTTGCTTTAATTCTAAGACCTCACAATAAAAATGGGAGAAAATCAAACTATAGGGAGAGAACAACTCCTAACAAGCACTGAATGCCTACAAATAAAATACTGTATTAGAAAATAGAGAATCAAGAAACAAACCCCCAGAAAACTAAACTGACCCATAACGAAAAACAGATTCAGCAAAACACAAATTACAAAACTTCAAACGTGTTAAAAAAAAAAAATCATAACTTTCAAAGTATACAGAGAGATAGGAAGGAGGGACTTACAAGAAGACATTAAAAGTTGAAAGGTTTGAAGTATGGGGAGGAAACTAATGAATGAAGAGTCCAAATCTAAGCAAAACCCAGTTATAATTTAATATTGAATTTTCGAAAAGAAGCAAAAAGATTGTGTGATAGTGTTGGCTTCTGTTGTCTCTGTGTGCTCGTGCGTGTCAGACAGGTTGCTAGTTCTGTGGCTATTGTTGTGGTCCTTGAGCCAGATCGTTTACGCTCCATAAAATCAGCCCAACAAATTATTTGACAGATGGATATGAAACTGAGAGCGAACAAGCCAGCAGTAAAATGGGATGAATTAGGCCCGCTTTTTCTTGTTTTTTTTTCTTTTTTTCAAAAAACAGCCATTTTTTCTCACATTTGTATCTTGCTGTATATTTCATAAGGATAATTACCAAACAAAAATCCTTTTAAAAAATCTTATATCGAAAAAATTCATTAATTTATTCTTAAATTTTTCAAACATAAAATAATATTTTTCTTATCAAAACACTCAATAGTTAACATCTACCTTAACGTTAGTTAACTATTAGATCTTTTGATAAGAAATTTTTTTATTTTTAGTTTTGAAAGATTTAAAAAATAAATTGATAAATTTTTTAATTAAAAATTTTTTAGAGTTTTTTTTATAGTTTTTATCTAATAATAAAGTCATTTAATAGTTTTTAATGAGTTTGATATTTATTTATTTTTTTTTCATGATCAAGTCAAGTTCTTTTTTATTGCATTCGAAAGAAAAAAAAAGTTTTTGAGGTTCCTTGACTTTTAAACACTAACATTCGACTACTTTTTTTTTATATGCTAAAAAATTCCTTATATTAGAGTTTTTTTTTATCGATCGTTTGTTTCATTAATTACTATATTAATTTTACTATCTAGTAACTATAGTAGCCAAGGAAATTTAACTAATTAATATTGATGAAATGAGACTCTTGTCATTCTTTTGTAATTTAATCAAATGGTTATCATACAAATAAGAAAAATAAAACATGTATGATTATGAAAATAGTGATTTCTTAAATTCTAATATATTGATAGGAAAAAAAAGCATCATCGGTAATACTACTTTTTTAATTAATCAAAAATCAACATTTTTTATCAAACAATTAAATTAAATTACAAGATGAATGTGTAACATATTTTAGTGCATTAATTAAATAAAACATGATCAACCATGATAGAAATACATATCTTGAAAGATAATGGTTTCATTTAAACTAAGGATGGTTACCGAATACCTTCTAAAAAATCTTCAATTTAAAAAATTCGCTATTTTATTTTTAAATCTCACAAACACAAAATAATATTTTTAAATCTCACAAGCCTAAAACAATATTTTTTTCTTACAAAAACAACCAATAATTAACACTAGAGTTAATTTTTAGGTGTTTTTGTTAAGAAAAATATTATTTTGGGTTTGAGAGATTTAAAAATAAATTTATGAGTTTTTTAGATAGAAGATTTTTTTATGAGGTTTTTCTAGTAATTATCCCTATTTCTTATTACAAAAAAACTAAAAGAAGGGATGGTTTTCAACAGTGATTCTCACCGTTTATTTTCTCATATTTCACTATTCATTTATAGCTTAGGTTTTTTTTAAAAAATTTTTTTAATTTGTTTCATTTTGATCCCTAAAATTTTAAAATACAAATTTTAATCTCCTAGATGATACACTACAAGTGGTTTTTTTTTCTTTGATTTTTTCCATCAATTTATGTTCATTTTTTTATTTAATTGAGTGTTAAACTTTAAAAAAAATCAATCATTATTTTTTTCATGCAAACTAATGATTATATAATATATACGATATGTTTTTGGATTTTAGAATAAATAAATACTACTCTTGTTATTTAAAATTGATCTTTTTGGTTTATTATAAAAATTAACTTGAAAAATTATCATCAAGTTAATTTTTATTCTTATTTTTTATATAATTTTATTTATTAATAAATATGATTTTTTTCTATGTATGGATTCGAATAAGTTTTTTTGCAACTATTTTTATTTGCTTGATTCTTATATAATCAAATTTTAAAAATAGAATATATGTATTTTATTTTTTTATTCTTTATATAATAAAATTTTATCAAAATCAAATTTATAGTTTTTATTGTACTCTATTAACATCAATATATATTTTACAACTTAATTTTTTAAAATATTTTTTAATTTATGTTATACATTCTCACTCATTGAGTACGTCACGATATATAAAAAATAATAATATTAGAATCATTGATTTTATTAGAAATCAACTATGCATCTACACACACAATATCAACTATTTGCTTTTATTTTTTAATATTTTAAAATTAATTTTTTCAAATACAATAATTGAAATAATATTTTAGAATAACCTCCTAATAATTCAAATACAATTTTGTATACTAATATTATTCATTTTTTCTAAATAAATATATATAAATCAAATGTACATATTTAAAAAAATAATATTCTCATCAGTAAAAAGCTTCATTAGTTAATTTTGATACAATTTTTTATATTAATTGTTTTTCGATGCAATGTTATAAAAAATTATTAAGATGCTTTTAAAAAAAAATTATATTAAAATCTTTTTATTATGGATTTTTATTTAAGAATAAATGCATAAGAAAGAACAAATCATATTTTTTAAACTTCAAAATTAATTCAAAACATAATATACATATTGATTAAAAATTATAAAATTAGATGAAATTTCACCTTTTATATTTAATTTAATATATTTTAATTAATTGACAAGCATAATATATGTTACCAAACTGAAATAAATATATTTAGTTTGATCTACGACATAGCGTGAAAATCCAAACTCGTTCATATGCCTAAAATTCATATTCACTTGCTCCTCATATGAATAAATTTACTATTTACTTAATAACAATTTAAGCAATTTTTGTGTGTGGTGTTTTTGTGTGCTTTTGAGCATTAATATGCAAATTTAACACTTTTTTCTTATTTTCGTCCCTCATGTTGTGACATTTTTTTTTCAATCATTAGTTTTCATTTTTCTTTCATTTTCATGTAGCATTAACATATACTTCAGCCTATATTACTTTTATTATTTAAATTTTATTCTTTGAATTTATCATTTTTTATGAAATTTCTCATCCAATTAATATTTTTTATATAAACTTGTATTTGCTGATAAATATAATTTATTTCTCTTTATGTTTGAATTTTAGAATAAAATTTTAAAATATGATTGTTTTTTTCTTTTTAAAAAATAAATTGGTATAATATATATCATAAATTCTTAAAAATTTTAAATGATAGTTGCATATATATATATATATATATATATATATATATATATATATATATATATATATTATTCTAAAAGGTTAAAAGTATATTTCAAATAATTTATCTAATTTTACCAAGTATGGTCAAGACGTATAAAAAAACTATTGAATCATTTTTTTTTAATTAAAAATTAACTATACATCTTCCAACATAATACAAATTATTTACTATGAATATTTTTTCAACATTATAGACCAATTTATTTGATAAAAATAATTAAAATAATTTTTTAAAGGAAACAACCAATTATTCAAATACAATTTTTTATGCTAATTTTTATTGATTATTTTATAAATAAATATATAAAGATCAAATGCATATACTTTAAAAAAAAAAAAAATCTTCTCACCGACATTAAATAAGAATAAAATTTTATTTTTTCATTAGTTAATTTTTATGCAATTCTATACATTAATTGTAACTTTATTTTTTGGATACATTATGATAAAAAAAATATATGTAACTTTAAAGTATTTGTTTTCGAATTCTTAATTAATATTTCGGGTTTAAATTATTACAAGATTTTTAATCCTGAATAAAGAAGAATAAATCATTTTTTTAAAAAGAGATTTTATGAAAAAACATTCAAAAAAAGTAGTAATAATTAAATAAAAATAATGAAAAAATTATGAAGTTTTGAAATGATTTTGTTCTATCTCACTCATGATATTTCGCGAATAATTTTAAAAATTAATCTTTTCCTCAGCATTAAATAAAATTTTTTATTTTTTTATTTTTATAAAAATTTTTCCATTAATTATAAATTTATTTTTTGAAATATAATATTATAAAAATATATGTTTTAAAAGCTTTTTTAATTCTTGATTAATATTTTAGTTAAAATTATCATAATTTTTTATTTTAAAATCAAACCATAAAGAAGAATAATTTATATTTTTTTAAGCATAAAATTTATGAA